ATTGCAGTTGTGAGAAGAGAATTAGGGGCTGTTAAGTGGACTGGCTCAAATCCCCTGGCCAGACGGCAAGGGATGTGGACTGGCTCATTACCTTACCTTCATTAGTAGCCTTCTCCAAATTCTTAGCAGTCAAAAAGAGGCCAAAAGTATGAAGCCCGATTACTCGGTTGTACTCTCACTGATTGTACACATTCACTTCTCAGGATGTGGTCCCCCACCCCCACCCCAAGCTCCAGAAGGGATGGTCAGAAAAGAGCTCATTATTAGGCTAGTCCATAGAAGAGCTCATAATGCTGCCATGCAGAATCAAAGAATCACAGGAGAGCACTATCTACTCAAAGGTCAGCCTTATCTCCCCCAACAGATCTTCATTTCTTCAGCATGCCCAATTTCCTAAGAGATCAAATCCTAGAATTTGCGAGGCTAAATGAAATTCACACATGGCTTCAGCTTCTGCCTAAATACATGGATTTTTGACCACTCATATCTCAAAGTAATTTTTAAGTCATTTAAAGCTAAAAGCCAATATGTATGACTTTATTTTCAGTTTTATAAATGAGTGTAAAACACAATAGTGCAGTCATATATTTGGCATTAACTCTTACCAGCCACAAAAAAATGTGGGTCAATATTGGATTTTCCAAAGTTGTCTAAATAAGACCAGGTTTGTCAAAACTTGCCAGTTGCTTTCAAGTGAACACAGCATGTTGGCGGAAATAAAATTTAATGTCTACGAGACAGAAAATAGGTCAGCACTGGGCAAAAGTAAACTTGTCAGTGAGATCAATATGAACCTACAAGTTAATGGGAAAATTAGAATTTCCTTACAATAAGGGATGTGCAGGATAGAGCCAAAATACGATTGTAGCATTTATTCACTTGCGAAATGCAAAGGACATACCTAAATATTATTTTTTGTATCCTTAATGAAAGGCACTGCTTTTTAATATGGAATATTTATAAGTAAGCACAGTTTTAATTGATAGACTATCATTGTAAATTAAATTCTCCTCCATTTGCTCAGCTTTTAGCAACATAAAAAATAAGAAAAAAGGGGAGTAATGATTGAACATCATAAAATTTCAGAAATATAATGAAGTCCTTCATTAGCTTTGTCTATGTTATATTTCAGAGAATTTGACATTGTGGATGAAATCGGTAAAAATTTTTGAAGGAAAAAAAACAATAACAGAAAGAGCTTTCTTGGGGCTTCTCATTGCATTTATTTAAAATTTTTAAAAATGTACATCACTTTTTGAATACATAAAATGCCAGTGCTCTGCAACAGTTTTGTTATTGCATCTCTCAACTAAAAAAAGGAAGAAACAAAAAAAAACCAGGAAGAATACATTCAAAAAGCCAGGCTGTTCTGCTTATGCACGGGCAGTGGCTTTGGAAAGCTACAGCCTACACTGTGTCTGTTCAGAGGGATTGCCGATCATCAATCAGCTATCAATGAAAAGCTGCACAGAAAGCATTAAAGGATACAAAGAACAACTTGGTGGGGAGCAGGAGAGGAATGGGAAATTAAGAAAAATGCCACATATGCTATTGCGGTGGGAGTGGACTCAGGTGGAAGCAAAGCATGAAGACTGATGTTCTTGGAACTAGATTTACGGGAAAAGATGGAAGAAAACAAAGTAACATGTTTGGCACGCTATAGTGTGTGTGTGTGTGTGTGTGTGTGTGTGTGTGTCCACTTCCAATTGTCTACTTTATTTTCCAAGAGAAATGTAACAAAACTGAGGTAGAAATGAACGCGGGAGCACTACAGCCCAGAAGATTTCAAAATGAGAAGCAAAATTGCACTGACAAGAGAGGAGTCAAAAAGGAGAGGGGATGTAGACGCTCTTTGTGGATACATAAGTTGGTTGGTTGATTTTTGTATTTATTTGTTTGTTTGTTTTGGTTGCTATCTTCTGCATTCTATCAAACAGCACGGCAAGCCTATAAGCTAGATTAGTGAATAGAATGACACCGTTCCCAGCAGTTTTAAGAGAGATCTTACAAACCACCACCGCCACCACTACCACCTATGCAGTAAAAGGCAGTCCTAGTTTTTAGGTACTGTGACTTTCAGGGTCCTAAACAGGTCTTGTGGCTGACTGTTCTAGACACTAACACAAACTGAATAAGTAGCTTTCCGTTAACCAGTGTACCTTTTAAAAACATTTTCACTTCATTATCAAGGAGCAATGTACGAAGAACTCTTGCAATTACTGACATAAAGAATTATTCTGCTCTGGTTAATTCCCCATCATTAGTAAAAGAACCTTTTTTTAAATCTTTCCATTTCTACTTTAAATTGTAAATATTCAGTTGTATCGCACGTCAGTATTTTTCTGGATACATTCAAAGTAATTTTCCTTGCTATTTTCCAATTGTTGAGGTAAACATACATTTTAATATAAAGTAACATTGAAGCCTATCCCATTACTCTCAGCAGTACATAGTGCTTTCAACACATTCCTTTGAGGTACTGTACAAATCACAATCGCTTTCCTGAGTTTTTGCAGACAAGAACATTAAAAGAAATGAACTGCAGAAATTAAGGTCCAGATTACCGTTACCCTGTTTTACCTGTTCTTAGCTTAATACTGCAGAACAGACAGGATTGAGGAATACTGTTGCTCTTAAAATGGCAAAAATCTGGTTTTCGTAACATAACCGTTCATCTCTTTAGTCCAATAATGTTTGAAGTTAAAGCTCTTTATATTAGCACATGCCACCAATGTAATTGTGAGGCAAACAAAAAATAAAGCACCACTCCAGGCACTTGACAGCAACTAAATCTCAAGAACAGCAGAATGGAATCAACACACGAGGTTCATGTCCTTCTGAAATCAACACACTTGCACCTTGCTCCTTGGCGAGTGTTGTCTAGCTTGAACCGAACTGAGCATCAACAGATGCTTTCTGTCATCTGGGGCTTTCAAATCAGAAGCTCTTATTTGATGCATTTTTTTCCTCCAAATCTACCCTGACTCTAAAGATGCAACTTAATCGTCGTCTTCCCCAGTACCCTTTGCGATTTAAACACTACTGGAAAGGGCTCTCTACCCTATGTAGCAGGTTTTATGTGTGTGTGCCAACATTCAATACATTTTTTTTTAAAGAAGTTATCACTGACTGCAACCAAACATTTTGTTCCATTCAACATACATATCAAGCTCTTTTTGAGATATGCTAGGCTGAATCTTGCAGAAAGCATTTTCAAAGTCTTGATATGTAACGGGCCTCAACTGGCTGGGCATAATGGCTGAAAGGTCTGTGGCTTGCATGGCATGGAGGGGGCCCACCGCTGCTTCCTGACACAAATGAGCCACGTCTAGTCCTGAAAAGCCTTCTGTGCGCTGGACGAGCAGTGCAAACTCCTTGTCATTGAGACAGTAATTGTGCTGTGAGAGCAGTTGTACTATTATCTGGTGCCGGGCTGTGCTGTCAGGAAGTGGGATTAAAAGTCGTTTCATGAAGTACCTCCGAAGAGATTCATCTATTTCTTCTGGTTTACTGGTGGCACAAATTACTACGATTTGGTCCTCAGCCGAAGTTAGTACAGTGTCCAGCTGCATCAGAAACTCGGTTCTCATCCGACTCACTGGACTGTGTTCCTCACTCACTTGAGAGGAGAGAAGCATGTCAATGTCACTGACAAAAATCACCGAGGGCTGGCGACACCTGGCCACAAGAAAAGAGGCATGGATAATCTTCTCTGCTTCTCCTAACCACTTGGCGACTAGTCCAGAACCGGCGATTTTGAAAAATGTGGCCCCTAGCTGACTAGCTATGCATCTGCCCAATAATGTTTTGCCTGTTCCCCGAGGTCCAAATAAAAGGATGCTCCGAGGTAAGGCTGTTAGTCCACTGAATGCATCTGACCTCAACACTGGCCATAAAACCTCCTCTTTAATGACAGCCTTTACCAGGTCAAGACCAGCAATGTCATTCCAGTCCACGGGCGGTCCTTGGGTGATGATCTCGTTGGTTACCAGGTCAATGAGGTGTGTGTCAGTATTCTTCAGTTGCTCGTCCACAGAGTGGTTGGATGAGGTAGCTGCACGGAGTCCAGGGCCTTGCATTGCGTGAGAGAGGAGCTGCCTGTGTTCGTCCCCATGCTCACTCATTACTGGCGATGTGTACTTCCCAAAGGCTTCACTGGATCTTGATCCCAATGAATTTTTAGCAGTACTGTAGGAAGGAGGGGTCAGAGCCCTACTGGACTGGCTGCTAAATTTCCTTTGCTGTTCAGAGGACATTAGCTGCTTCGTTGGCTTAAATGCTAAGGATGATGTTTCAGCACTTCTGTCAAAGCCATTCCCCCGATTTGAGTTTGAAATGCTGTTGTCGGGCATTCTGTACATAGGACTCTGTGTAGATCTCTGTTGGCCATAGCTGTAATTTCCATAACTGGAGTCCATATCTCCTTGCCCTGCCATATAGAAAGCTTTCCTTTTGAGAGAACTTGCCGAACTGTTTGTCAGAGCCGAGGGTGCAATGGGTGTCAAACCATGACCCTGGTAGGTGTAGCCAGGAACAGTGGTGGGGGGCAGGGGGGTAGGAGCAGGAATTCCTGAAGGCAGGTATGCTGAAGGAGGAGGGGGTGCACCCCCAGGGCTGTACCCAGATCCCACAGCAGTCTGAGGAGGATAGCTAGCAGAGGGATAACTGTAACTGGAGAGGTTAGAAGTCCCATTGTAGCCTGGGACCAGGGCTGGTGGCGGAGGAGGTGGTGGTGGCGGCTGTAGGAGCCCAGAGCTATGCAAAGGAGATGGATGAGGCGAAGGAAGTGCAGGTGTGGGCTGGCTACTGTAAGTAGAATGCAAATATGATCCGTTGTATCCCGGGGCATATTCCTGAGATGGGAGCCCTGCATGAAGACTAGGTACCGTGTGGCTTCCACAGGTACTACTTGAATAACTAGGTTCTGTCAGGTTGCTGGCCACCCCAGGAGAGCTCCCTATACTTGCAGAGACATCTGCTGGAGGGAGGGCTGAACTGACTCCAGCTTTGCTGGCAGTAATAACATCCGGAACACAGTTCAGAGGATACACAGCTTCTGAATTCAAGGAAGGCTGCCAGGGTTCACTTTCATTTTTCCGACCGTTCACTAGTCCTGATGGTGCATCTGAGTAGTTGCTGAGGACAGGTCGGTCCACAGGGCCTTCCAAAATGCCAGAATACTTCTCTGCGTATTTTTTTAGTAGGTTGGATGCAGTCAGAGCAGATATGTCATCATTCGCCCAGGCGTACTGATAGGTGCGCTGCAAATGACCTCGGTAGGCCTCCACTTTGTGGGCAGGGGACCGCGTGGTTGAGGTGATGTCAAAGTGCTGTTCTGGCCACTGGGCATGCTCCGGCGTCCACTGCATCTTCAAGCCTAAGGATTTGGGGGGAAAACAGTTAATTTACTTAGACACTCATCAGAACTGTTCAAGCTTTTACCCACAACTTCTTTTGTTACCTATTATTTTTAATTAATAATATCAATATTATAAAGGATTTTCACAGTTTATAATACCTAATATGATCTGTACAATATGTACACTTTAAAATGGACTGAATTTCAGCCATGTATAAAAAGTAAACTGAATTTAAATGAAAACTCTGTAGAAGACCTAAAATGTTTTCATTTTTAAGTAATAAGCAAATCTATTTCCATTAAGCCTATCAAGTTACTTGCTACACACACACAGAAACACACACGTATATATATATGTACACACACATTCCTGTCAAATTAGAATTCAATCACAGGTTCTTACAATAGAATATACATACATTTTAAATACCTATCACGTGATAGCATTAACATGTGCAATATCTAGCTATTCTGTCTCTTCAAATCACAGTTTCTGTTTTATATTTTAACCAATATAAAAATGAGACACAGCTGACAGATCACATCTAGGATACCTCTCTTATTTGGTACCGAACACCTAGTTAGCACAGTATAATGCTCCCTGCGCAGAACAATATGACACAGACATAGCAGGTCATTCCATAATCCAACTCTCATCTAAAGTGGTCCACGACAGTTTCAAATCTGCTTCGTGGAGTGCAGCAAAGCAATCTCCCAGGCAGCGCTCCATTGCTTTCATCGCACAAAGCCTACAACTCGGTATGAATTACAACTGGCTCCTTTCTGCCTCTCAGTTCTGTTGTTGAGTCTCTGAAAAAAAAAAACAAGCATCACTTGTCTGTCGGTCTTCTAGCTAGCGTTCTCCATCCTCCTCTCACAATCCTTCCCTCTGCCTTACAGCCTCCAAGGTACTAAGAGGGGAGAATACACACACACACACACACACACACAGAGTGAAAGAGAGAATGAGAGGAAGGAAGGAAGGAAACCGAGGTGAAAGGGAAGATAAGAATAGAGAGAGAATCTGGATTCTAACTCTTTAAGTGTGTGGCATAAACTCGGAAAAGTACGACTAGATAACGAGATGCTATGGGTAATTCTATCATCTGCTAGATCACTAACTGAAGCAAGGTGCCTATGTGCAAACTATAAAACAAGAGTAGTTTCTCATTTAAGAGAAAATACGGAGCAGTTAGAATCAGAGAATCTTTTGAATTTTACAGTTTAAAGAGACCTTAGAAATTACCTTACCCCACAGATTAGGGAACCAGTCCCCAAAGGGATTTATAACGTACCCTCATGGACTCAGGTATAGTTAGTTACAGAGAACACTGGAACCCTGTTCTATTTCCCACTGCTGGCTCAACCCATTCTAAGCTCTGCTTGGTTGGCACACTTCCTACTCTGGTACAGCTATATTAAGCAGGACTCCTTAATCTTCTTTGTATTACCCAAAGTGAATTCTGCAAACTGTCTTGTGCCCTCTGGCAGAGATTCCTTGATAAGAAGGAGGCCTGGTCTAAATGAAGCATCTGTGGCATCAGCTCCCTTCTGAATTACCACAGTCTATTTTGACAGCTCCCACCCCCTTCTGCTCTCCTCCTCCACCCCCTTTAGCTCTTCATTGCCTGACTCTGGCTTCTGACATGGCCAGCTTTGACTTACCGAGCTAAACTGAACATAGCACAGAGTTTGGTAACAGAATGGCATGTTGATTCCCTTCTGACTCCCTCTTCCTTGTTTGCAAAACCACTGCACCAGACACTGGAAGTTAATTAGCAGGATGATGCTGTGCTAATTGTGTTAATTTACAAGGTTTTAGTCAAAGAGAATCATGCCAGGGCTGGCACTGCTGTCATGCTTCTGACTTAATGATTAAGAAATACTGAAAACAAGGTGGGAAGGATTGCAGTAATTACACAATAAATGAATAAAGCAACAGGATTCATTTGCAAATATATTTTACTGCAGTTGTACTCATTTGCATTTGGATTTTTAAAAAGGATCCATGTAGATATTCACTTGCAAATCACCATTTCAGTTAAATTAAGTCTGAATGCTGCACAGTATAACTTAATCAGGCTTTATATATACATTTTTTTTTTTTTTAGTAAAAATACTATCCTTACCTCTCTTGTATATGCAACAGATTCCAACAGATTCTCCACTTGCCTTTCCCTCACTTCCCCCAAATCTTCATATGTTTCTCTTTTAAAACTCTATGTTTAAAAATAATCTGATCAATTGGAAAAAAAAATATTGTAAAATCCTGATGAACTGCAGCTTGCATCATTTCACTCAGAGAAACTCCCGGGGTGAGTTCTAGGAAGAACTAGAGTGATATTCTTAATTGTTTCTGCTTTCTCAATCATCACTTTTTAAGGGGGAGGAAAACACACCACAAAATGGGTGAAATGACCGAAACCACACTTAAAGGGGAAAAGATGCAATTTTAATGAAGCAGCATTTCAGGAATCATACTTTCATTAAATTCAACTGGAAATTATTAAGAGCAAATCACCAGGAACCAATCGCAAGTAATCAGTATCTAAATTCTTCTAGTGTCATGGGATTTACTTCAAGCCTTATAAAAAGCAGAGAATATTAATGTGACTGTAATGTACAACTGTCTAAAAGACCTACAAATTCATTAGTCCTGTAAATCATTTCCAGGGAATTTCTATTAGGATTTTTTTCTTTAAAAGATTATGAAAATACAGAGTTGAGGAAATAAAAAACACATACGCTATAAGTAGGAATTTGATTAGATTGATACAGAAGAAACATGTGAATAAATGTCTTGAAATAAAGTCTCAGAAAATAATTTAGGAGTCACAGGCAATGGAATTTACCACAAATACAACATAACACACACACAGACACACACACACACACACACACGTGTTAAAGGGCATGGCTTCCTTTCAGTTAGCTGAGCCAAGTCATTGTTGGCATTAGTTAACAAATGTAAATAACAAAATGTTAAAAAAAAAATGCCCCCCAAAAGACCCAAAACTGCTTTAGATTTAGAATAATTATTTAAAAAACAAACAAAAAAAGGTCACCCTTCCACTTGTATTGGCTTGACATTTTTTCTCGTAAATTAATCATTTGTAAAAAATATGCAAAAAAATGATTTTAGTAAGGAATATAAAGTTTAAATAAAATAAGTTGGCCATTTTCACTGGGTATTTCTGCATAGTTTAAGTCTAGGAAAACTAATTAAATTTCATAAGATTTCTATTTCATCTGAAATTAAGCAAAGTTTCTATCTATCAAAATTATTTATTTGGAACAATTACTGGATACACCATTGCCTTTCGATTCTCATGCTATTTTTGGATGGGCTTACCAAGATAATTGAAAGTTGATTTATTGATGCATACTAAATAACAATAACCTTACCAGGGCTGCAAAAGGCAGGACTGAGCTTTGATTAAATAAGCTTAAGGGAATAGAATTATTCACCAATCCTAAAACACAAGTATTTATCCAATAAAAAATCATTAATATTATCTGCTAGTGTAAGTTAATAGTTAACCATAAGCTAGTTCTTAATATTACTAGGAGCTGAAGAAGCCAGCGTTCAGGAGATTGTCCTGGCCTTGGCAGCACAAAGAGCTTTTTCATGAATTTTAATAATAATTGGAAGTAGAACCAAACTTGTTTTTGTTGTTGTTATTATTGTTCTGTTTATTGGTGGTGATACGTCTGATGTGAAATGGAAGAAAAACGTAGAGCCAAGTGTTCTCTGAACAGAAAATCACGCTCCATTTGATTGTATTTCTGTATCTGTAAGCAGCAGCATATGCGTGTCACTTAACTCGGAACCCAAATAAGGAGGTGGGTTTTAAGAACAGCTTTTCTATGGTTTCTCTTTGGAACACGAAGAGAAAATCCTCAGAAACAATACTATTTTAACATTATGAGAAACATGACTCCAGAACAATAACTTCCACTGCTGTTTAGAAATAGTTTAAATAGGTTCAATAAAAATTCAGAACACAGTGGAAAGTAAGAAGAATAGTTCTTAAAGATAATTGAAGAATTGTTCCAATACATCAATTTTTATTTTTGAAAGGATCTGAAAATTCTTAATACAGCTGGCAAATTTCACAATGCAATGTGTTTGTTTTTAAAATATGTAATTTAATAGAAAACTGCTTTTAAGATAATTTAACCTAAGTGTTATACAAGAATGACAGATACTACAGTAAAAAGCCTGAGCATTTTGTTATTTTATTATTATAGGCTGAATTTATGTGTATGGAAATGAACAAGTCTATACTTCCCATAAAACTGGAAAGTTTGGGTAACATTTTCCATTCTTATCATTGCTGACCATTTTATAACTTAGGTTTAATTACTAAACAGTTGCTGCCTTATTGCTTTACTTCCTCCATTTTGCTCTTTCATTTGAAACAAAACAACTGTGGTATCCTTCAAGTTCTGTCACAGCTTCCAAATGATAAAGAAACTGTTATACAGAAAAATGAAAGATATGAAAACGACTTTCAGAATGGGAGGAAATTGGAAATAAAAGACTAAGCCTTCTAGAATCTATTTTCGCACACATTCCTGGAAATATTAATCTAAGGTACTCACTACCCCACCCCCACCCCAACACACGTGTGCTATTCAGCAGTTCATCAGGTCTAAAAAAGCTGCTCTCTACCAGGTTCCCATAGGGTAACTCTAGCTGCTAGGGACTCTGCCTTCATTTGTAGGTTTTCTCTGACTTCCTAAGGGCGGGGACCCGAGGCAGACACCTGCAGGCACGGCGGCCTTGCTTGCTACAGGACACTGCACAGCGCTCAGAGGCCTGCACGACACCACTAAACCTATTACACTCCTTTGGCCTGTTGTACCTCTGCACTTTTTATTATTAAAAAACTCTGATACCATATTTACCAAGGTTCTTTCTAGAAAACAATCACTACTGGGGTAAATAAAAGAGACTAATTATAATAGTTTACAGCCCCCTCAGCCTAATAATGCAACAGATTCATCTCCTAGGTAGGAAATGGCAGAACTAACAAATAGAGCATTCCAAATTTCAAGTAGAGAGTAGCCGATCCATTGGGGGAAAATATAGGTTTATGCAGTGAGAAGCCTTCTGAGCGAGGGCCTACAAATTTCCTGGGACTGAAAACTGGCCCTATGCAATGTCTACTTATCATTATTCTTCAAGGGGAGTGATGACCAAATGAAATGTTGGAGCAGACTAGGCAGCATTCTCCTTCTGTGTACCCACCCTCATAAGCCAAGAGGCCAACACAGCAGTATCTAGTATTACCTGTACTAACTCATTTGATCTGAATCTTCCTCAGTCCACTTCCTGATAATTCCTCGCCTGAAAATGTGATGTCATTTCTAAAAGTAATAGCAGGGGAAAAGTGAGAGGAAGAAGCACAGAAATTACATATTCTCTTTAATCTATTTAATTTGCTCCATCTTCAGAACACCAAAATTAGAAGTCCTTTATAAGCTGAATATGATGTAGGGACTGTTAATTTTATTTAGTCAACAAATTGAGGGCCCACTATGTGTAAAGCCTTGTGGTTCAATTCTAAGAAGTTAAATCAAGGGAATCACTTTACCAGGCGATGAAACCTTTCCAGCTCTCTGTCTTCTTTATAATTTCACATTCTAAATTCTCTAAAATTAGACTCTCTGATTTTAGAGATGAAGGGAATTTTAAAGTGACTTAATTCCCAATCCAGACAGCCTCAGTTATAGTTTAGTACTTCACTTACCATGGTGTCCAGTGGGGTTGAATACTATTTTATCTAACACAGTGTCTTATTGGGAGGCATCACTAGATTCTTGGGATAGAAAAGAACTGGAGAAAGAATAAAGAAGGTTCTAGAATTTTATTTGAAGAGTAAATATCCCAGCCTTGAGAATTAGAGAGCTGGCTTTGCTCATGCCATCACTTATTTGTCCGAATCTTGGTGAAGTCACTAAAGTGCATCATACTCACTTTTCTCAGCTATAAAATGTGTACAATAAGGGTATCATATACCTTACTGGATTGTTATTAAAATTACCTAAAGTAATAATAAGTGTGAAAATATTTTCCAACTGTGAACTGCTACAGAAATATTTATTATTCTTTTATTTTGAAAAAGCCAGAGATGCGTTAAACACAAAACAAAACAAAACTGACTAGACAGAAAAAAAGTAAAATCACCCCTAGAATTTATAAATCATTTTTCCTTCAGCCTCAGGACAGCTACTGAAAAGGAAATTTTCCAGTGGGAATGTTGTTACAAGAAAGGTGCAGAAGTTCTTTCATACTTAGCAAAACACAGAGCACGATCTCCTTAATCAAAAAGGTGTCAAAAATTCAAAATGTTTTCATAGTATTTTATCTATTTTTAATGTTATTTGTGACCTAACACTGTAGACACCACTACTAAGAAACAAAGTACTCAGAGGTTTAAAACCAGTTAAGAATGATCTCAAAACCTGCAGTCTCAAAATAAGATATTCTAATTATACAGTAGTACTGTCAAGTGATTTTTCTCCTTAAATCACACTTCACACCTCAAGACTCCAAATTATAATACATTTTGCAGCAAATTACTCCCTCCCCCTAGTCCACCTTATTTGCATAAAGCAATCCTTTTTAACAATCACAAAGGCATTTCTGGTTAAATGGTCCTTAGTAAATATAGCTCAAATACCTCAACCTCTAATATAGAGAAATTGCCACCTGACAGCCTGAGGGTAGCATACAGCCTATAACCAGGTTATGTTTGGCCAGCACAGGGTTTTAAAAATCAGTCAGCTTTATATAAAATAACCTATATTTCCATATTTACCATTTTTTCAAGATAAGCTGAATGATCTTACAACATTAGACTTCACTCTTGCCTGGCAACAGTTGGCTGAATATGAGAACCAGCTGCTCCCTCTGGACTTGGCACGCCCACTTTGTCATGGTGCCCCCACTGCCTATTACAACATTAGGTATTTTTATAGTACCTACCAGTCACATAAGCAATTGAATTTACCACTTCACTCTGAAGCTTCAAGCTTCAGTTTTTTCACTTAAGTACATTTTCTTGAAAACTAGCAAGTATAGTGCATTAAAACTTAAAAACAAGTAAGGTAGTCCCTTCAGAAGAAAATTTTT